AAGAAATGAATAAACAAAACAATTCTCTTCAAACTCATCAACAGATTCAACCTAACTTCTGCGATTTCCTGCAATGGAAAAACTGACCTCACCACACAAAGGAAAGATAGTGAACAGCCAAGAAACAAAACGAGACTCGGGTGGCCAGCCTGTCCCACGGGTTCAAGGCAATGATAATCCAGACAAGGTGAGGCTGGGACAGGACAGGGGGAGAGACCAGGGGGCCATGGAGAGAGCCCTAAAGGAGCCCACACTGAGAACCTGCAGGAAGACGGGGTGGTGCTGTCCACAGGCGGAACCTCTATAGAAGGGGACCGTGGCAGCAAACAGAGTCAGTTCTGTAGAGACTACGCTCCTGCATGCAAAAGACAGTGAAACCTCTCGGGAGAATCAGAAGGAGCCCTGGGAGACCGTGAGGTCGCAAAAGATCTCTGAAATGAAGGACTTCGGCTCTCAGCTACTCGCAAGGGTGAAGAACCGAGCCCTCCCCCACAGGAGATACACGTACCCATCCACTCTATACGCATACACGGGGAGAGTATCTGTGAGACAGACAGCATATACATGTCAAATACTTGAGGGACACAGAAAGGCTGAGAGACACTAGCACTGTTCTGTTTTTTAAACTTGACACTGGGGATCTTAAGTTAAATTTTTAATTTCGTCTTAAAGGCGGACATAAATGTTAAAAACGCCATTCTGCTCTGATGTTTTTCACCTCTAAAAACAAGAAGAGAGAAAAGATCTACAGAGGAAATCCCCAGTGTATACACCAGACGAGCTGAGTGAACTGATTATAATACAGCACAGATTGTTTCCTGGGTTCTGAGGAAGGCATCCTCACCTCTGAAGAAAGAAAGCGGCCATGACACCAAATGACAAACAAGGAGTCACAAAGCACAAACATAAGGATGTTCAGGCCCGTGTCTCCAGGCATGGGTTCCATGTCACCTGGCACCTGCACGTGCCAATAGGATGCTCACATGGGAGGGGACAGCCTGGCGCCATGGCGAGTACAAGAAGACACTGGTGGGGAAATCAGACCTGGCTGCTGGCCCTGCAGAGCTCGCAGCCTACTGGGAGAGATCTACGCCCTCAGCACCGGCTGGAGTCCCAGCCAGGCAGTTCACACGGGTCACAACTCTCGGTGCCCAGGATGAAGAACACCAAAGTGGAGCTCAGCAAGCGACTGCCAGCCTGCTGGGGGAAGTGGGCAGAACACGGAGCTGCAGCTGGGCCCACAGGAACCTCGTGAGGCCCTGACGGTCACAAGGTGAGGAGGTCCGCAAGGGGAAGCACTGCAGAGACAGACTACCCAGCGGTCCTCAGAACCAGTTCAGCTCCCTCACACGGCCCCTGGGACCGGTTCTCTGTGGCCGGCCCGCTCCCCAGCAAGCGAATGGCTCGCACAAATCCAGAGTCAAAGAGAAGAATGCAGCGGGAATGAGTTCATCCTCATCAGTGTCTGCACCCTAGAAAACACTCCTTTAATGTTTCTTGGAAAATCTCACCAACTCTGCGTGAGAGTGAAGAACTTGGCTTCACAGGCCTGTGGGTTTCATTATTCTGTCTGTTCAAGTGGAATGGGACACTGCTTCTTGGTGGCTAATTGAAAAAGGCCTCTTATTTCTGTAATTTGTGAAACTGCTCTAAAAAGCAGCCAGCCAGAGGGCAGGCAACAGGATAACAATGGAGGAAAAGTCCCTGGGCAAATGATTAACGTACCCACTGGACAGGCCCGAATGCCACATTTGAACATGGTTTTGCCAATAAACTCACTGTACCGAGAGAGCACTCCTGTACACAGGTATCAACACACCTAAGGTACCCTTAGAATATGCAGTTTATTGTCTGCGCATCAGACCTCAGTAAAGCAGAAAAGAAGAGGACAGAGGGAGGAGAGAAGCTAAGTGCCATGATGCTCGCCTGTAGTCTCAGCTCTCAGGAGGCTGAGGCAAGAGGACCCCAAGGAGTTCAAGGCCAGCCTGAACTACGCATGAGATCCTGTCTCAAAAAAAAAAGAAGAAGAAGTAAAAATAGAGAAAGAGGAAAAGTGAAGAGAGAGAAAGAAGGAGGAAATGATCAGAGCAGAGCTGGCAATCAGTCCTGAGTAAATAAAAAGCATGGATATACAGTGAGCAAAGAATGCTGTGGCAGAAATCCATCCTGAGCAGGAGAAGCTGAACATCAGCAGAATGTGTGAGCAACAACAACCAAGGTATAGCTCTTGGTTCCCACACAGCTAGGCACCACGATGTCACAAAGGTGAGCGACAGGATACAAGCAGCAGTGCACAGGCAACTGACCTGATACTCAAGGCGGAACACGCCTCCTTCCCTGTGTTGTACTGTAATTCCCAGCCAGTGGAATGCAGCAGTGATGGGGAGTGCTAAGCAGCCAACCTGGGCCATGAGGTTAAAGCCAAGCATCCAGGAGATGGTAACAGACCCCTGCCTTGTGACACCACAAGTACTACAGGTTCGCCATCACCTGCAGATGCACCCAAGTCTAACCTCCACAGGGGAGAAACTGTGGCTCCCCACACTGCCGCGTCTGCACCTGAGGCCAATGCTCAGCATGGAACCCAGGCTGTGCTTCCTCGCCAGGGCCAGCCCCACGCCTCCCCAGAGGCCCATCTGCCTTGAGGGCACCCAGCCCTGCTGGGACCTGTGGAGCACCAAGGCCTCAAGGGGAGGCACTCCCCACCCAGAGGACCAGGCCCTGTTGGCACCGACTGGCAGCACTCCGGAGCCACACCCTGAGACCAAGAGGCTCAAGACAACTCAGAAAGGTGGCAAGAAGAAGGGAAGAAACACACAAGCACAAACCACATTGTAAATGACGTACAAAGGAAATCACGCTCTGCAAGTGTTCTCTCGTCTCCAGACACAGCAAGCACAGCACCGGGAAGGGACTGTGTCCACTGGAGAGCAATAGCCTCCATGTGTTCCACAGTCCATCGAACCTCTGCATTAACAATCTTTGAGTGTTTGTGAGCAGATTCACTGCACAGACAAGAGACGTCAACGTTTAAAAGGGTATTTACCGTAGGAATCAGGATGCAAACAAAATATTTTAAAATAAGAAATCCCACTCTAAAGACAGGCCACTTACTTTAGCAACAAAAATTAAGGAATCAAGAATAAATATGAGAAAGCACAGACAAAATCCTTTATACACAGTATTAAAAACTTCACTCTGAGGCATAAAAATGGCCTAAAAGAATGGGAAACCACCATGTTCATAAAAATGAAAGCTAAATTTCATAAAGATGTCAGTTCCCTCAAGAGGATCTAGACAATCTATTCAATTTTAGGTATAAATCGAACTGACCCTAAAAACAAAAACAAAACAAACAAACTCCAGTGATCCGACTCTGAAACTTGTATGAAAGAGCAAAGACTGGGGCTACGCAAGTGCCTCTGAGGAGGAAAACGGGGTCTGAGTTCCCAGCCTTCCCCAAATCACAAGACATTATAAAGCTGCGTTAGTTAACAAGGCGTCCTACTAAGAGAAGACAGCTGTGTACTCAGACAGAACAGAGTACCCAAAACGGACCTGCAGGAACGTGGCAACAATTAAAACAGAAGTGACACTGGAGATGTGGGGAGTCGAGCCGGACTCCACAGACTGCACCGGGATTGGCCTGGTCTTATACACACAACTGTCAAGTACAGAGAGGTGAAATATGGAGGTGTAAAAGCAAAGCTCCTAGAAGAAAACACAGAAGGACCCTTTATAAGGTGCATGCAGGAGAAAATTGCTTAACTAAAACACATCAGTGTTAACCGAAAGAGACTGACAAGTTCAACCACACTGAAATTAAGAACTTCTCTCATCAAAGCTACCAAGTAGAAAGTGAGATACAAACCACAGAATCAAAGAAGATATCTGCACCATACAAAGGAACAATTATAATCCCAAACATATAAAGATCAACAACCCCCAAAGCAGGTGGTGCAGAAGAACATGCATTTCCCAGGATAGGAAATACCGAAGATGCCTATAAATATGCAAAGAGGTGCTTAATTCTACAAAAAAAAAAAAAAAAAAAAAAA